GCTTTAGACCATTGAGCCATCTCCCCGGCCCCTTCTTTTATTTATTTATTTATTTGGCAGAACCAGGGATTGAACTCAGGCCCTACACACTTGCCAGGGAAGTGCTTATTCTAGTGAGCCATCTCCCCGGCCCCCAGCCCCTTCTTTTAAAAATTTATTTTATTTATTTATTTATGTGTGTGTGTGGCCAGCTCAGCCCACCAGGGAGCGGGGCTGACTGGCGTGTGGTGCTGGGGGATTGAACCGCGGTCCCTGTGCTTTGCTAAGCTTACTCCAAGTAGGTGCTTTAGACCACTGAGCCATTTCACCAGCCCCTAAATACATTTACTAGAAAAGGACAAATTTGAATTTACTTGAAATACACAAAACAAAAGCAATTCGTGCTTTGTAATTATTACTCACATCTTATTATTAAGCAGCTCCATTTCTTGTCAGAAACAGAGGAAAAATACATGTACATCCAAGGGATAAAAAAATCAAATTCATCCTCCCCTAGACAATCAATCAAAACTGACAGCCCCTTAACATACAATTTGTAGGGCACTGTAGTTTTCAAGGGGAAGTAGTCTATCACATGGGCTGGAAGCTTTTGTAGTTTTAACATTTGATGAAGAAGCATCTGGTGCATTGGAAAAGTACTAGCCGTAACTCAGGAATAAAATAATTAGTATTATTTTTTTCTGGTATTCCTTTTTCTTTAGACCTAAATGTTAACAGATGCCAAGATTTGTAATAAGTATAATGAAATTAGTTATAGATTTGTATTTCAATGAATTCAGTTGTTTATATCTATGCAAAATAGTATTCAAAGTTGAGGATCACATTTTAGAGTCTGGCAATGCTTTTGGCATTAAAAGATCTTTTTTCCATTCCTCCTCCAAAACAAACAAAAACCCAGAAATCTTAGCTCTTCTCAGAGTAGTTTAACTGGTAGCAGATATAATGTAATAGAGTGAGGAAAGATTGCAGAAATTTGTATTATGAAGGGAATCTAATCATTTTAGCTCAGTTAACTTGATTTTTATGTTTTAAGCAGAAATTGGAATTTATATGAAGTGGTGTCAGAAAGCTCTTTGCATTTATAAATGCTCACTCCTGCAAGTTAAAACCCTGGTTCATAATTCCCACTTTGGGTCTGGGGAGCCACTTTTCAATCATTTCTCTCTGCTAATTTTGGTGTCACCCTCATTTCTTTTTAAACGATTCATTTTGAGCAAATTTGTAAATGGCCCTGATGTGTTCTACAATTTAGTCAATTACTGTTTCAGCCTGCAAGCCTCCTGGGGAACGGAACATACATGGCCTGAAGGTACGAATTTCAATAATTGTTTCAGTAAAGTTAGATGGATTTGTAATGCTGTGTTCCACTTATTGAAATGTCAAATAAAACTGCACTTTCTCAAGCTCTGACAAGCGATCTTTTTAATTTTTTTTTTAAATGGGAGGTGGAGGGGGATTTGTCTGTAGAATTTGCCCAATATGTGTGTAAATTTGGATACTGGGTCTTGGTATGGTACTTTTAATTATTTGGAATTGTTTGGTTGGTCAGTTTCTTTGGGATGGTCATAGATAACTGGTCTCCTGAAAGATTTATTTGAGTGAGATTATAGTCTTCATTTCAGTGATTAATTAATCATGTAAGTATATTGCACGCAGAATAAGCCCCTCTTCTTTTGACATGTTTATGCTAGAAACATATATCTGGTTAATGTCTTTTCATTGTTCTGTGTATTGTGAAGTCTGGATGTCTGCTTAAAGTCTGGATGTCAGCTGAAGAAAAACTGGCTATTTTATTAGGCTCAAATATTTTATAATCAGTCATCAGACCTCATTTTTTAGAGAGTAGGAAACAGTCTCTAGTGTTCTGTTTGCTTTTAGAGCTGGGGGAGGATATGATACCTTGAAGCTCGCTACTAAACCCTAGTTGTATTCTCAGTGTAGTATTGTGAGCATGTTGTCTGAATCTGTGCTCTAGATGTGAGTTCCACTTTCCATTTATCTCACCTTTTCAGCACTGCCTAAGCTTTTGAGTAATGACAGGGATAGAGGATTACATAATATTCGGATTGTACAGTTCTGTAACCTATATACTCAATAGGCTCCAACCGTAGGTCTGTCTAGCAACAAGCTAATTAACCTTCATAGCGAAATGAGAAATGGGTAGCAAATTATAGGTTAATTAGAACTGTGTCCTCAGAACACAGGACTGATCAAGATTCTCTCTGTACTTATAGGTGAATACCCGGGCTGGACCCTCTCAACACACCAGCCCTGCAGTGTTGGATTCACTCCCAAGCAATAGGTGAGAGCCAGCAAGTGAGAGTGGGTGGGCAGGTGACCTGTGGGATGACCAGCTGGTGTGTGTGTGGCTAAAAGGAAGCAAGTAGATTCACACTGGTAACTGAAGAGCCAGCACTGAACCAGAGCCCCTTCCTGTCCATATTGAGCTTCGCCAGGTTCAGACTTAGGAGCTGCCTCTTTCAGGTTTCTACTTCTTCCTTGCTGCCTCTTCCTCCCTGTTACTCTGGGCTCTGTCCCAGTGGCTTCACTGCAGTAATTTAAAGTCTCTCCTCTGAGTCCCTCCCTTTGCTTTCCAGTCCCCCCCACCCCAGGTCATTTCCCTGGCTGCAGTGTCGTGGCAGCCAGCTATCTGCCCCTTAGCTTTCCTGCTTTGAAACATGGCTCACACATTCATTCCTCCTCAGGCAGCATGGATCATCTGCCTGGTGGGGGGGGGGGAGCGGCAGGGCTTTAGTTCTCTGAAGTAGAGCTTTGTATCCTCTCTCTCTGCTGCTGGCACGTGAGCCAGGGCCCCGCAGAGTGTGGGGCAGAGGCCCACTCAGCACCCCATCTTTCGGAAGGCAGAGCATTTCAGAAATGGTGTTGTCCATACAAGACTTGACTGCAAACCTGGGGAAGAGCAAAGGCTGTGCCTGGTGTTTTAGATCAGATGTCATTATGATATAAAGAACAAAATGGAATTGCAAAGATGGTAAGATGGAGAGGTAGGATAACTTGTTAGGTTGCTCACATTCATTGGAATAGCCCATGAGAATGAGTGTGAATATTTAAAAATGATCATGTGCAAGTTGTTATAAGATCATTGCATTGGCTAGCTGTTCAGAGACCACCTGATAAGTCAATGGTCTTTAGCTGTTTGTCTGTGGTGTCTTTGTTTAGGGATGCGATAGCTTCCCAGATTGTAATGATCTTCTGCTATAGTAGTGGTTCCTCTCACAGGAGGAATGGTATTTGAAAAAGACCAACAGCTGACTTTAATGTGCCACCCTAGGTTGGCCATGTTCTTTGCTCCAGGTTGCTGACTACTAATAGGTATTGAGTGTTCTTACTCAATAGGTGGGGTCTGGTGCCCTAGGAATCCAGTGTGCCAGTTATCCTGACGTTTGCCATCTGATGGGCACTTGATGGTTAGTCTGGTGAAGGGGGCAGGCTGGATACCAAGAGAAATGACCCTAGACAGGGATTGGATTGATTTAGAGTGGGTGCTTGGGGAAGGGTCCCTTAGAGCTGTTTCTGGCTAGACCTAAGGGTCATGCACAAGGTAGGGCCATGCAGTGGAGAAAGAGCCCAGCATGCATGTAAGGAGCCAGTTGGGCAGGGAGAGCTGCCGCGCTGGGGCAGGAGATGGGGTATAGGCAGGAGGGCTGGCCTTTGCCCTCCTTTGCCAGGGAGCCCAGTAGATAGCTTGGCAGCAACATGACAGGGCTGGCCTGTTTTATCAGACCCTCTGCCTGGGTGCAGAGGAGTAAGAGAAGCACCCCTTCTCCTGTCCTGTTTGATGCTTAAGGCCCCATTCCTTGCCAGACAGGCATCAGGCCTTTCTGCACATCCCTGGGGCAGGAGGCACTTTCTCAGCCAAGGCAGCCCTCATTTTCATTTCACGACATCTTAGAAGGTCCTCTGTGCACTGAAATTTGTCTCCCTTTAGTGCCGACTTGTAAAGATTTAGTTTAGTCCTCAGAAGATATCAGTTCCCTCCTGCAGATCATGGCTCTTCCCATCGTCTTTCCAGCAAGCACATTTCTCCTGGGCCTCCCTTCCTCAGCACCACCAGGTACACACACACACAACACACACACACACACACACACACACACACACACCCTGTTACTCTTTCCAGGAAACTTGCCTGTTGCCTTTCACTTCTTCCTGACATCTTGTGCTTTCCGAGAGGCCCCAAGTCCGTCCGTGCACCAGTGTCCTATTGCTGCACAGCTGTCCCAAGCTGTCCTGTTCACTACTACCCCTGCCTCCCGGTAGCATCCTTCCTCCATCCTTACCCCATTCCAGCCCCTCCTCCACATGCTGCAGGAGTGATCTTGCCAATTGTATTCATAACTTTTCCTTACTATAATTAAATCTAGAGGCAGCTGACTTTATGAAGTTAGAAGGACTTTTTAGCTCATAGTTTTGGAGGCTGAAAGTCCAGATGGTGCCGCACACTCTGGTGGCCCCCTGGGCTCGGTCACCTCCTTGTAGATCGCAGTGGTGGGAGCACATGCAGGAGCGAGTGGTCAGTCCTTTGTAGGGCACAGCCTCACTAGACCCAACGGCCTCCTACCGTTTCAAGGTCTACCTCCTTGCATAGGCGTGTGGCAAATGAGTCAAGTCCAAGCCACGGTGATAACACCCAGGTGGGAGCCCTCATCCCCTGTTAAGGCCGGTCATGCTCTTTGTGCCCCACAGTGAAGGGAAACCCACAGGCGGTGAGCTGTGGCCTCTCCCGTTGGGTGCTTGCTTCACTGCAGCCTGGTTCTGAGTGCCAGCGCCCTGCGTGGACCAGGTCCTCTCACTATTGAGCCTGCGCATCTGTTGCCTCTCTTTCCCGTCTGCTTCCTTTTCTCGTCCACACCTTTAACTTCAGCCTGCCTAGTCTTGGCTGTCTTTGTGGACCATGTTAACTTCTTTTAAAAGCTGCCCCAGTTACCAGCCACTCATCTCCTATAGCAGGAAGCCCGTCTGTGATTCCCGTGACTGCCTCATGCTTCCACTTGGAGTAGCAGTGAACACATTGTACATTGTCACCTCTAGAAGCTTCTGTGCTCTTTGAGGGCAGTGATGACAGCATGTTTGTTGTTAAGACTCAGTTCTTGCCATGAAGCATGGCACAAAGGGGATGGATGGATGGATGGATGGATGGATGCATGAATGTGTACTGTACCTATAGTACCTTTACATTTCACCTCTGGATTGACCTTCCCAACTTGTTCAGCTTTTATTCTTTGGATATCTTGAAGCTTCTATTTTTGTGCCACACACAGGTTATAGTTAGATGACATTTAAAGTTTAAAATGCTTTCCAAAGTGATTTTTTGATAGTTCAGGTCACTATGACCATATAGATTAATGAAATATCAAGTAACCTAAGTTACGAAGAAATTTCTGGAATACAAAATGATTTTTTTTTTTTTTTTTGGCTTTGTTTTTTTGTTCAGTTTTTTGTTTTTTTTGTTTTGTTTTTTGGTGCTAGGGATTAAACCCAGAGGCCCCACACATGCTAACTAACTATGCAGTCACTTACCACTGAACCATACCACCATCTCCACAAAATTCTTTTAAAACATCAGATTAAGGTGATAGACACATATTGGCATAATGAATGAAATCAGTTTTCTTTTATTACTCTCTTTGCCTCAGGTGAATGGCTGTTTATTAAACTAATCTTACTTGGTGATCCATGATTAATAAGTTCACATTCCATTACCAAGGCAAGTCCTTGCCTACACGGTTTCACTTTCTCCTGTAAAATTGGGATGATTAAATCTTCCATCTATCCACTTCTGGTATTAGTAAGATTGATGAAGCTGAGTTAAGGAACCATGTTTTGTTACTTGGATGAAAGGCATTTGTAAATGCCATGAATCAAAGTGTTACAATTTTAGGTTTATCACATAACGGAATGTCTGTGCAGCAACAGTGCCCAGGCTTTGTTTGGTTGTGACTTTACAATAACTGGAACTATCAAATTGGGAGTCATTTATAGACTGCGGTGAGGTCTGGGAAAGGCTCCCTATACTAGGATTTTAGTATTTTCCAGGAAAAAAGCTGTGTGTTTATGTAAAAGATAGACTTTGAGTAAGGTTTCTATATCAGTTTTATCTATATAAATTAGACATAATAATGGTATCCAAGGACTGTAGTTATTATATAAATTTGGGTAATAAATAGCATTTAGCACAATACTTAGCACTTGTCATCACTTAATAACTAGTAGTTGTTATCATTGTGTTAGCTGGACTGATTTTAGGCATTGTTTACTGTTTGGTCTATTTTTCCACTTTGGTCTCATTCTAGAGCACTCTTAACTACCAGTCTAGTGCATGGAGTCTTAGACTTGGGAGAATATAGATTATTGAAGTCTACGCCTTTGGGTGAGATCATATCTTCTAAAACCTAGGAACACAGAGACTGAGACTCCATGGTCTGTTGGGACTAGATTATGCAGACATTTAAGAAGTATTTACAAAGAAGAGTAATCACAACTTGAAATAAACATATATTCTCAGAGTTTGAGAAGCCTGAGATTTTCTCAAATGTGGTACATTAGAGGTGTTAGATGGAATACATGTGTATTCACCTGAGGTCCTGAGACCTTTTGCTTTCTGATATTTTCATGATCCTTATGTCTTATTGTTACTATGATAACTGCTACAATACAATAACAGTCAGACCAGTGATCATTTAAAGGTATGATCATAAAGTAAAGTAAATATTTAATTTGCAAAATTTATTACGGTAAAAGATAGCTTGCCATTAATCTCACCTTAAAACACTGTCACCAAACACACTAATCCCATCCTTCTTGTCAGTTCCTGAACAGTCCTGGAAATCCTCTTTCTTGAGTTTCTTTAGTTTTGCTATTGTGGCTGCCTTGGTATCCTGAATCAGTTCCAGAGTATTTACCTTCTGTGCTCATTTTGACTTTGGGGAAGAGCCAGAAGTTGCGTGGTTTCAGGTCCAGTGAATGCAGTGGGTGAAGGCACACTGTGATGTTTTTTTGACAGAAATTGCCACAAATGTAAAGTGTAAACTGCTTCAAAAGCAGCAAGAATGATGGACTAAGTATGTTGGAAGATGGGGGAGTATTTTGAGGAAGATTAATAGCAGTGAGTCTTTTATTGTAATACATTTTAAATTGAAACATTCACTGTATTTTTTTTTTAATCACACTTAAATTGAGTACTCAGTACCTGCTAAGTCCCTGGCAAGGTTCAAGTGTGAAAGGGAATAGAATTGGAATATATAGAGTTAGATGTGGTCTGTCTTCTCAGGGGCTGCCACTCTTGGGGGAAGACATGGTAGAGAGAAAGACATTTACATTAGTAATTAATACAAGGGAGAGAGCTAATGTGATAGATAGGTAGAGGGCTACAATAGCAAGGTTAAGAAAATAGTTATCAGGCTTTACATGTCAATTAGCACATCAGTGGGGGCAGGTGCTCTTTTGGATACTGTGCTACTACAGTATGTTAGCTTTCAGTTACTGAAGCAAATACCTGTTGGCTTACAGCTCTGGAGGTTTCAGTCCATGGTCAGTTGGCTTCACTGTGCTTGACTCATGCGACCAGGTAGCCTGTGGCGGCATGAGTGTGTGATGGAGGAAGTTACTCACTTTATGGTGGCAAGAAGCAGAGAGACCAGTCCCACAATCCCCACTGAAAAGTATGCCCGCTGTAACTAAAAATGTCCCACCAGGCCCTATCTTAAAATTTCCACCACTTTCTAGTAATGCCAGTCTGGGTCACCAAACCCTTAATACTTGGGCTTTAAGGGGACACAAAAGCCATATGTTCAGAGAACAATTCCATGTCCCCTAGTAGTACTGAGCACTGAGTCTCATACCCATAAGACACAGTACTGTTTTGTAATATTTAATTCTCCTGGCTACCCTATAAAGTTAATATTCTCCTCATTTTGTGGAAAAATGCAATTGAAGTTCTGAGAGGATAAGTAACTTGCCCCAGATCACACAGCTGTTGAGAACCAGAATTTATTTCTATAATCCATGTACTTCCCAGGAAGTTGAATTGTAACTTTTAATTGTAGTAAAATACCAGGACTGAAGCCATCTGTTTTGTCTTTTGAGCTTTCTTATTTTTGTTTGCTGTGAACATTGTGAAAGTGCATTGTTAAATATTTTATGTTTAGCAGATGATAGTGTCTACATAGAATTGCCACTGAAAGGCTACCCAAAGGCAGCAGAACTAATGGCCAAAATGTCACTGCGGTGGTCCATAAAATACTCTAGCTTCCTCTTGACTGTAGGCTTCCTTATTACTGTGGAATACTAATGGGGTTTCAGTCACATCATTAATAACTTTGGTGTTCAGTCAGTTACTTTGGAAAAGGGTCTTCTGCAGAGAGGAGTGTAGTCCATGCCTATACCCGAAAGCAAAGGTATATTTTAGTGTGGTGTTCAGAAGTGTTTATGATCTTGCCATTACTAAAAATTATGTCTTTCCTTTTCAGCTTAAAGAAGTCCTCTGCTGAATTGAAAAAAATATTAGCCAATGGCCAGGTAGGTATTATTACCTATTAAGATTTTCAAATAATAATATCTTATTATTACCCAATTTTTTAATCCATGAACTTATTAACAATGAAGAGTGTGAATTTCTTCTTGTCATAAATGAGTAACATGGCTTAATTTGATTGGCAGGACAATTTACAGCCTGTTTTTCAAACTGCGCTAATGGCTTTCATTCCCAGCAGATTGAAGGACCATGCGCACACCCCACTGCCATCTCTGTCTAAAAAGTTAATCAGTTCTGAACAAGTGTGTCAACCCGTGGGTTGCTGAAATGGCCCTGCCTTCTGAGGCAACTGTTTCTTTCATTATCTTTGGGAAGAGAGGGAAAAACTGTTACCTTCTTACCTTAGCTCCATCTTTTGTCTTGAAACTAACACTGGCTTTGTAGGGGACCAGGGGAACAACAGACCTTTGACACATAAAATCTCTGGGGTCCCAGAGACCTTGGTTCGCCTGGTCGACAGGCTGTCTAAAGCCAGATGACCTAACTCAGCCAGTGAGGGGCAAACAGGCCTGCAGGCCAGTTATTTCTCACTAATTTTGATTCAAGTAAATGGCCACGTCTGAAATAGTATAGTGCTTTTAAACATACACTGGTAAATTAAGCTACCTACCGGGTCTTCAATTCTTCACTAGCAACATAAATGTGTTTTAATGTTTGTTATAGTGGAAGCCCTTTGATAGCCTTGGAGGCAGGCGCCTGTCCATTGCGATCAAGCCTGCCTATTAGGCTCTATTGACTGAGACATCTGTGTCACTGCAAATAAAAGACTCTTATTGATTTTCTTAACTGCTGTTCACTTCCCGTCCATGTTTCGAAGGCTGAAATCTTAATTATCTCAGATGCTTATTCAGTGCCTTCACACGCTGACCTCTCCAAGCCTCATTGGCATTTCATGAATCAAGTACTTGTAGTGGAGCATGTCAAGAAGACAAAGCTGGGTCCTCATGCTTGTCCTTTAATATCACCTGTAACATTGTGGCCTAATAGACGTGTGTTCCTTGAAATAGTGGCTGTGCTTCTGGAAGCCTGCTTACTTATCACACAGGCCTTTAGATCCAGTTAGAAAAAATTAAGTCCATCTGGTTCTTTTTTTTTTTTTTTTTTGTATCCTAGGGAAGGGTCTACAGGGTGTTCAGGGTCTCACTACTAGATTGGACTCGTAGTGATCTGCCTGTTTGTAGCCTCCCAAGAGCTGGGATTACAGGCGCGGCCACCATGCTCAGTCTCAATTCCTGTCTCAGTGTGTCCCGGGGGCAGGGCCGGCAGGCAGGCCCAGGAATCGAACCCCAGGCCCGTGTGCCTGCTTGCAGGTGCTTTAATCCACTGAACTATTTAGCCAGCCCTAAAATGTTTTAACTTCATGTACTAGGTTCTTTTTTTTTCTTTTTTGTGGTACCAGGGATTGAACTCGGGACCTTGTCCTTGCCAGGCAGGCACTTACGCAGCTGAGCTCTCTCCCTGGCCCCATCTGGTTCTGACAGCTGATCGTCATTCAATGTGTGTGAATTCTAGTCTTTAGCTATCCTCCATACAGCTGAGAGACTCTGGTGTGAGGTGTACAATCTTGGTAATCTCAAAATTTAGGTCATTTATGTATTTGTCTGTCTGCCTGTCTGTCTATGGGTATGTTATACTGGGGATTGATCCCAGGGCCTCATGAATTCTAGGCATGTGCTCTACCACTTAGCTACATCCACAGTCCCCAAATCCATGATAGTATTTATTTAATACTTTTATCTTTAAGCATTTAAGTGTCTGTTGAGATTGAGGTCCACATCCATATGTCCCAGTGCCTACAATTTAAGCACAAGCAATGTGAAGGAAAACCTGACTAAAAGCAGAAATATCGAGCTGAGGATATTTATGTATCTTCAGCACGCTTGCATTCTAGTTACTAATTGTAATTTATGTACAAGTCACTTGTGTTCTTTGGCTGGAAAATATATTTCAAAATTGACATAAATTAAGAAGCTTTAACTACATTTGTTCAACCCAGGCAATGGAAAATAACCTGTCATAGATTCTTCTTTCAGAAATGAAAAACATTTTCTTTCCACTGCAAAAAAAAAAAAAGAAAAAAAAGAAAAAGAAAAGCCTTCTGAAATGTTTTGACAACAAACCCAATACCATAAATATCTCTGGTCTCAGTTATGAGGTTCTCTGTGGTAGGAGATTGTCGTGGCAATGATTTTTGACACTTAAAGATTGTTTATTGCTTTCCCTTGGGAGTGTGCTAACCTGACATTGAACAGTGTGGCATTTTCTCTCTTTTAAGGATAAGCTTTTTATTATTATTGCTATTACTGTTATTACTATTTACTTTTGCTCAAAAAACAAAACAGAAAACCCCTATCTTTGGAAGCTTTCAAAATACCTCCTTCTACAAATTCCTCAACTAGTGCTATGGAGTAACTAAACCATGGTGAGACCCCGGTGCGGTGAGGTGCGTGTGTGACGTGGGTGTCGATACACTCCCGGGCTGCACACTGACACCACTTGATGTGGAAGATGTAAGTCACATTTAACGATACTTTAACACTTGAGCATAGTTTTTTATTTTAGTGGTTTATGCTTTCAAGCATTAATAATGATTTGCCTTTCCACTAGCCTCCACTTAGATTTAATAAGGAATTCATATTAATCATTAAAAGAAAGGGACATGATTCTTCAAGATAATCAAATATTGACAGGTTAGAAATAGCTTTCTGCCTGGGTTCATTGATATAGGTTATGTGATATAAATATTTATTTCTTTTCTGTCACTCAGAGTAAATGCCACCAATTGATTCAGCATTGATATAGTGTCAACAGTTCATAAGAAACATTTGACTGGCTTGTGTTTTCCGATTAGTCTCGGCTCTATAAAGTGGGATTTACTAAATCTCTCCAATTGTCTGCTCATAGAGTGTGACTGCTTTCTGAAACCGTTATTGCTTCGATTTGTGAAGCAAAGGTCTAGTGATAGCACTGGTTTCTATCAGACCCTTCCATATAAAATAAGGGCTAATTGAGCATTTTTATTTTAATGATTTATGGGCGATAGGTACTGATTCTTCTTAACAAAGGCAGATAATAAAGAACATTTTCTTTGCTGATCCATAATTGAATTCCATTTCATTTTTCCCATTAATCTCATTAATACATTCGATCAGCACTGTTTTGAAAGTTTAACATGTAGCATTTAGACTGGAGACTTTGTTTTCCTGGTATCATTTTATAATGGAGGGTTCCATTTCTCTTGCTTCAAAAAATACATCAGAAGGTATTTTTGGCATGTTTTATGAGAACTATAAATCAGTCTCACAGCTCTGTTCGCTGGGTATTTTTTTCCCACTTAGGTCCAGTGTGGTATTATCTGTTTAACATTGGCCCTGGGTTTAGAACTGGTTAGAAATAGCATGTAGTATCAATTTAAGCGGTTTAAAAAGTATGCAGTCATTCCAAGGTTGTGTAACTTTGACCTTCCTGTCTTTAATGGTGTTTTTTTTTCCTGTCTTTTATATTTTGTAGTAGAGGGTGATAGTATTTTCCTATTTTAAGTCAAGTATAGATATGCTATGAAGTCACAGATCTAGAACTAGTTCTGGTCCTGCTGCATCTTTAGCTGTTATTTAGAAAAGCTAAAATACTTTTAAAAATCTGTTTGAATTTAGATCAAAGGGGTAAAGAATGGGAAGTACAGCAGTACCTCAGTTCATGAATTCAGTTCTCTTCATTCTACTTGCAAGCCAGACTGGACAAGAACTGAATCAAGTTTCTTTATAAGGTTGATTTTGAACCTAACCATTATGTTTGATTCAATTCTCATCCAACTCAGTTTGCAACCAGGATGGTGGAAAGAGTTGGGCTCGTGAAGTACCAATGTAGATATCTACTGTAAAATTAGAATTAAAAGCCCAGTCATCACCAGTACATAATATTCTTAGATTTTAGTGGCTCACTTTAGATCCCGTAGGATGACTGAAACACAGCTGAGACTGTGAAACTCGGAGCTTCACAGTGCCCTCCTCCACCCCGTAGATGCAGCCTCCCTGCCCAGGCTGGCTGCTTTCTCCCCTGCGGCCCTGGTCCTGCTCCTCCTGCAGCAGAGGCAGAGACCCCACAAGTCAGGTCTTCAGGTCACTGGCTGTGTTGGCAGCTGGCAGGAAGCAATTGTAAATCATGGCTTTTACTTTTTTCTCCTCACTCACATGTAGTATTCTGCTTTTTGTTAGCTTTTTTTTTTTTTTTTTTCTTTTAGCCTATACAGGAATCCTGACCTACATTTAAAAACTCTATGGTATCCTTAATGAATAAGGAACAAACTATTTCACCTCTTTTCAATATAAAAAGCTGTATAGTTTTTAAAACATTTCTCTTAAAAGTAAACATCATTGCAATGAAAGGGTTTTTATTCGTGAGTACCTTCCACGAGATGGGCTGCCTTCCTGGGAGTTGTGGCTCTGGACAGAGGGGAATGATAGGATGCCTTGAAGTGGGTGTGTGGAAGGACTCAGTCTAGTTTTTCTTTCATTCTTTTCTTTTAATGTATTTGGTGCAGGGTCTCCCTACACAGCTTGGACTTGTAGTGATCTCCCTGTTTTCAGCCTCTTCAGCGCTAGGGTTACAGACATGCACCACCACACCTGGTCTTGGTGGCCTGCTCAGTGCGCCTGGGGGGTAGGGCTGTCTCTACATGTAGCGCTGGGGATCGAACCTTGGTCCCTGAGTTTGCCTAGCTGGCGCTTAGGCCACTGAGCTATCTCATTGGCCCTCTTTTTTTTTTTTTTTTTCTTGCTACAAAGTTCAGATTGACCTCGAACTCACAATTAACCCAGGCTGGCTTTGAACTCATGGCAGTCTTCCTGCTTCAGCCTCCTGAGCAGTGGGCTTCTAGAAATGGTCCACCATGCCTGCTAGTCAAGACTAGTTGTTATGATGTTATACAACCTAACTAGGTAGACTAGTGGTCATAAAATACTGAAAAGTGGTGATTTTTTGATACTTGATCCTATCTATAGTATTTAAATGCAGTATTTAATAGACTTATAAAGTCCCTCTTATTTCATAATAAGCACAGTTCCTTTGCTTCTGTGCTCATCAGCTAAAAACAGCAAAAATATTACTAGCTATTTGTTAATTCCTGTAGTGATTTTTTTTTATAGCTAGGCAATTAAAATAGCACATTTTGGGCTGGGGAGATAGCTCAGTAGAATAAGTGCCTGCCTGGCAAGTGCAGGTCCTGACTTTAATCCCCAGTACCGCAAAAAAAAAAAAAAAGCACATTTCGATCAGATAGTGTTTCAAATGTTTCTTAAGTAATCAGTTCTGAGCTCTTAATTTTCCTTTAAAAGATACTTACTGGGCTGGCCAGATAGCTCAGCGGATTAAAGCATCTGCTTAGGCAGACACAGGGGTTGGGGTTCTATCCCTGGCCTGCCACAAGGCCCCACCCTAGGGGCACGCTGAGAAGGTGAGTGAGACTGGGCGAGGTGGCGTGCGCCTGTAATCCCAGCGCTTGGGAGGCTGAAAACAGGAGGATCATTGTGAGTCCAGTCTGTGTAGTGAGACCCTGTAGACCCTGTACTAAATACATTAAAAAAAAAAAATACTTATTACACAGGTATGGTAGTGCACACCTATAGACCTAGCACTTTGAAGGCTGAGGCATGAGGATTATTTGAGCCCAGAAGCTCAAGACCAGCCTAGAAATCATAGCTAGAACCCATCACTTTTTTTTTTTAATCATGAGAAGTACATATATATAAAGAAAATTCAGATAAACAAAAAAGGAAAAGAAGCTCATGCCTTGTAATACAGAAATGCCTTCATCTTTTTTTTAATGCATAGTGTCTTACAGTGACCTGTTTCTAGAACTTTCTCTTCAAAACAACTTTTACCTTTAGGTGAATCTTGTAGTCTTCCTTATTATACATTTCATTCCGTATTTCTGCGTGGGTGTCTTTCCCTTTTTGAATTTGCTTATGCAGTGCTCAACACTTACGTGCTTACTCATGCAGCAAACATTTGTCCCTACCCTACTCCTCCACTCCTGGTCCTCACCACCCCACGGTGTGAATGTGAATACCTACCCTCTTGGGTGATGATGGGCCTAGATGCCACCCACATACGTGACCATAAACTGGCCCTGCAGAGCTGGGCCCTGTGTCCCTGTGTCCCTGTACCTGCCTCCTGCGCAGCCTTATTTCTCTGTGCCACTAGGTCAGGATCTGGCGCCTAAGTGAAATTTCTCTCCTAGAAGTGTACTTCAGGACCCAATGAGGGTGCAATTTGTTAGGCAAGATAATGGTACAGATTAGGTCATTGGAGACATGTTTGCCTAACTTACAGAAATCTTCTTGAAGATTGGCCTGGTTGCCTCTTTATATCTGCAAACAGATAGAGCTCTTCACGTTCCTTTTATTGATCAAAGTAAACTAACAATTCTGCTAGAGCCACATCTCCAGTCTCTTGAAGCGCTGGCTTTCTCCGTGCCATGTCTTTTATACAGGTTACAAGTTGACTGTGGTTTTTTCTCGATTAGAGATGTAAAAATAGTGAAGAACAGAATTTTCCTCAAATAAGAAAGTAATTGCCAGTTTTTCTGTCATTTTTTCTTTGACCTTAAATATAGTAATTAGCTGATTATAAATTGCATCCAGTAGCTGTGCTGCAGTTAAATTGGGTGCTGAATTGGCCTTTTCATATTCACCTGTCGATGCTCTTTTAGGGATCGGTAAAGGGTTCCTTGGAAAGGACCTGTTTCTGTTGCCTGCACTGTACCCCTAATTATCATAGCTCTCTGAACCTTCAGCTTCAGAAAAATATAGAAGAAAAGTATTTCCCTTGGCAAATGAAGCCTGGCTTTTTTAATTGGTGGAATTTTAAAGTAGAGCAAATATTTAAAGCTTTACTATAATGATCTGAGAGCAAACTATTTCTTTTTTCAAGTGATGTTGAATTAAAAACTCTATCCTTTTCTGCCCATGCAAGGCAGTGCAATTCCCTGGAAATTGATTTTTTTTTTTTTTAAAGGGCTTACTATGGCTTTTCCCAAGCTTTCACTATATGGAAAATAACACTTCTATTAAATCTATTTAGTGAATAAAGTTAGCAGTTAATTTTAAAGCAACTGAACCAGTGTTTTAAAAAATAACTGAATGTATCACATACAGTCTGATTAATCTAAAGTCGTTTGATAAATGATTATTTAGGGAATTCTGTAAAAATACCTAAAACAGTACTTTGTAGGTGCTGACGTAATTCACCATCTAGTCATGATAAAAATGAGGGTAGGGAGACCCTGTAGACCCTGTACTAGATACATTAAAAAAAATGAAGGTAGCATTTTTGGTATAATAGGTTTTATAGAATCTTAGAAAATTGCATGCTGGGGTTTTTGTTGTTGTTTTTGTGGAACCGGGGATTGAACTCAGGCCCTTGCACTTGCCAGGGAAGCGCTTCTCCTACTGAGCTGTCTCCCTGGCCCCTGCATGCTGTTTTATATATTAATTATGAAATGACTGCTTCATAAAAACTACATGTCTCTGTGTAGTTTTCCCTTTATGCATGGTGATGCTTGGCTGCATATACATTTATCTGCCATTTTTGCATCAGAATAGTATGATTCCTGCACAGCTAAGGCTGTGTAGAAGTTTACCATTTTCAAAGAAAAATTCTTTCTCTTGTAGGAAAAGGATAAGCATTATTCAGATAATCGGCTAAATGCTAATGATAGGGTCACCTGAGGACTTTGCAGGGGCCGATGTATTTACAGATCATGCGTTGAAGTCCTGGCTGTTGTCTGTGTATGTTTGTTGTCTTTCCAAATTTGACTTTGCTTATGCGCGGTGCTCGCTGTTTGTTCCTGGTTTTATGCAGTACCAGAGACTGTTTTCTTATCAGTCTGTCTGACCTGACCCTTGTGAGCTATGTTATATCATTCCATTTTGACACCTTTTATCAAACTTTAATGAAATGACCCAGGCAAACAAATTGTCATTAAACTTTCCATCACTTTGTCCCTTGGTATCGTCTTTTATAAATTGGACAGCAAATGTTGTATTGATCTTCTCGTTCTTGCAGCTGAACTTGAAATGACCCAGACTGCTTGTTGTTTATGGCCCCGAGTTGCTTTTCCTTGACATTTCCATCCACGGCATGACACCCTTTCTGTTTTTCTTTCTTTCTTGTGGAGATGAATGAACAAGACATATGCAATCAAGACACCCTTGGTCATGGCAACGGAGGCACGGTCTACAAGTGAGTAGTCAATCTTGTTTGGACTTCTGTCCACTTTCGCCATGTGCTGGGGATCCACGGACTCCACAGCAAAGATTTTTAAATGCCCACCAGCGCTCAGGCTTTATCTCCATGTTTGATGCCACAAGGTGTCTTCTGTTTTCTTAGGAATTGCTTGAAAAGTGCATTTATATTGCCTTTTTAATATTTCCAAGTCTGCATCTCCCATGGGTGAGTGGTTAATAGTCCACCATTAGCAAGTGTACCTTTAACTGGCCTGAAGTTTAATGCACATTTTTCTTTGCTCTTTCACACTAATATTATTTTTTTTAACTTGTCAGCACCATGTGCTGGTCCCTTGCCCATTGACAGTTATGCCCAGTGGAAGCCAAACCTTATAAATACCATTGCTTTGCCCTGTGTTGACACTCTAAGTTATTAAAAAGCCTTCTTCCTGTTGTATTTCTCTCTCTCCTCACCTTACTCCCCTGAGAGAATTTCTGCACATTGATAAATATGTTAAAGTTATAAAACTCTCCCAAATTCCAGTTGTAGTGATCTTACCCTAAAGGAGAGTTCATTTTCATATTAAAAAATGCTAACCATAAAAAATAGTTCTCTCAACAGGGAAGTCTTTCTCAAGCAGTAGTGCAAAGTTTAAAATACATAATGTAATATCTGGTACTTAATAGTCTGCAATGGTGTATGAAAAATATTCCACTAGGAATTAAAAAATCCATACTCTGTGAGAAAGCCTTGAGGGAGTAATAAAGCTTTCCTTCAGAGAGCTGTTTTCCATATATATGCTAGCCCTGCATCACGTTGTGATCGTGTTTCTTACCGTAGTTATTTTGGCATTGATATTAATCTGTAGTTTCAGGGTTGCAAAATAATTTATTTTCTAATTGGTTACTAATGTTCTTAGAATTTTAAGTTCTGATTAGCCATGTGAATATAGATAAAAATTGCCCTGTTGTCATTTAGCCATGAAGGGTCATACCCTGAAATCCCAGAACACCCTTTATCTATCCATGTAGCCTTGGCAGAGGATTCAGTTTCTTGAGGCTAAAAGCTCCTTCAAAGCCGACTGGTACGCCCATATATCCAGCACTGTGGGCTGCTCTGAACGAGTATAAGTCCTTGCTCCTAAAAATAGTCCTTTAAGAATTCATGTCCACATATTTGGAATTCTTTTCCCTGTACTTGAGATCATGAAGAGTTGGCTTGAAAGTGAAGTCCTTCTACCTTGAGAACACAGAGAAATCTTCTATACCAGCCTGGGGTCTTCCCTGGGGTGCTGGAGGCCTGAGGGGTCCAAGTTCTGAGGCTGCTATACCCCCGCCCTTCCCTTCTAGGACGCCCTTCCTCTCAGCCTCTTCCTCCTTACCCTTCCCGGACTTGGACTTCTTACCCAGTTCTGAAGTTTCCTCAGAGGGAAATCCGAAGGTACACACGCGCTCCATTTTGTTTCTTGTGCAAGCTCTCTGAAAGGAGCAGTTTCAAGGCTTTAACCCTTCTTTTGAATGCTACTTTGCTAGCAGCCAAATATAATAAAACAGGAGGGATTTCTAACAGCTCTTTGGATTCCTTTTATTGGCTTCAAATAGAATCCAGAAACATTTCTTTAGACTCCTGATTTCATTTATTATTTCACTGACTGTTTAGTTTTGTATTTCTTAATTGAAAATCTATTATGAATTTACTGTCCTGATATTCCAGAGGGGAAGGAACGTGAGACCTCCAAACCCCAGTAGATAACTTTTATTAGACGTAATATCCTAGATTCTAAAAGGGTTATTTGTCTTTTCTTTTTGTGCTGAGGATCAAATTCTGGCCCGTGTTCATGCTGAACATGTGCTGTACCACTGTGCTATGACCCCCGCATAGATGTTAAAATTTTAATCCTCTATCAAGTTAAAACAACGGTGTATATAAGAGATAGAATAAAGATAAGTAGAAATAGCATGCTCATTTCCCAAGGAAAAATTACAATGTGAAATTACATTTTGGTTTGGTTTTTTTTTGAGCCAACATCTCACTGTGTCGTCCAGGCTGTCCTTGAATTCACTGTGTAGCCTAGGTTGTCCTTAAACTCACAGCAATCCTCCTGCCTCAGCCTCCTAAGTGCTGCAATTACAGGTATTTACCATCATGCCCTGCCTTAAAATTACTTTTAATTGTGGTGAGATGTATGTTAAATAAAATTTACCATCTTAACAATTTTTAAGTGTACAGTTTGGTGGCGTTAAGTGCTTGTAGCATTATACAACTGTCAACACTGTTTATCTCAGGAACTCTTTACTTTGTATCACTCTGTACCCACTGAATAGTAACTCCCAATTTGTACCTTTTTATTTTGTGTTTAGCTGAGAAACATGGCTAAAACTTCTTTCATTAGGACCATAGTTTCAAAAGGAATTCTCTCCCACATGTGCTTAGAACTTGGTCTTTCATTTACTAGTTTACATTGGCAGTTCACTTAGCTACCATTATTGGTGCGCAATATGAGTGTTGTATGATTAGCGTGATTTGGACAGTGGTTGCTTACAGAAGGTACGTAGCAATATCATAATTTTAGTACTTTATATAGTAGAGAGCTCATAAAAAAGAGAATAGTCATTTATTTGATGGCCTATGTAATTATGTTTTTGTTTTTGTTTTGAAATGGGATCCTCCTATGTTGCCTACATTGACTTCGAGCTTCTGGCATAAGTGATGCTGTTCTGTTCAGAGTTGGGGTGTGTAGCACTCACTGTGCACCTAATGAATAAGGAAAAAGACTGTGAATATATTGAAATGCATAACCCCTGGTTATCGATCACGGGGCTTCATTTCTGCCCAGGCTTCCATTCGTGGTGGAGTTTTTATCTCTGGCTTTCAGTTTATTACAAAGAAATGGTATAATCATCACAAAATGAAAATCCACTTTACTGAAGTCTTCATAAAACACTGTTTGATGTGTTATGATTGGGTTGCTCCTACACTAAGTTTACCTTAATGGTGTTGACTATAAAAATTGTGGTTTTTCAAACAAAAATGATTACGTTGGAGGCTATGCTACATAAACTAGATGAAGAAAATATTGGAAAATCCACTCATTGGTAACAAAACTGCCTAATGGGCTTATTTAATTTTTTTCTTATAAAGTATAATAAAGCTAATAAGTGCAAAACAAAACTTTAATATTTCAGTCTTATTCCACTTGATGGGACATTGCAAGGCATATGCTGTTATGTGTAATTGCAGTATATATTATTTAATAGTTGGTAAACTCTCATTGTGCGAGTCTAGATGTTTTCCGCCGTTACGTAGTATGAAGTTTTGGCCCTGAACATTCAAACCAAGTGGTAACGTGGATTCTGTGCTGTCCCCTCCTGACCTGCTGTGCTGTGCTAGAGACCTAAGCAGGTGATTTTGAACAGGCATATCTTGGATTACTAATTTGTGCTAAATGGATCATACAAGAAGTATTTTAAACTAATGTACAGCTGAAGTATAGGAAGAAGGAAAGTTTAGGAAAAGTAAATGGGTATATTTTCATTATTATTCCATTTTACAAAGTGCTAGAAGTTTATTTAGAAAAAAATTCAGGAAAGTCACATGTTCTATTTGTCCCTGAGAGGTTCACCGTGAATTTTTAAAACCAAGAAAGTAGAAACACAGTGTGTTGTCATTAAATATGGGGCTCTAAAATTGAATCCTGCATCTGCCACCAACTGGTTATATGACCTTTGGCAAGTTACTTAATATCTTCTTCCTCAGTTTTCCCAGCTGTACATAGGGATAGTGATAATGTTTGTCTTAAGAAGTTCTTGTGAGGTTAGATGAGATGGTTCATAAAAGGTTTCACACTGTGACAGATACCAAGTGTTAGCGACGAATAATGTTAGAATGAATAATGGAAAAATTGTTCAGACCTTGTATCTTCTACCCTTAGTTGGCCAGGGGATGCTTTTGGGGAGCATTAATAAACACTTCATAGAACAAAGTTGTGAATTAACTTTGTAAAATTATATATTTCTATTATTATTATATATAATTCTGTTTTCTCATATTGTCTGATTGTGTCATGAGATTTGTATTTTATCTTGTATATTATCATACATGTACAGTTCTCTAAAAGCTTCATAGTATTTTTTCTTTTATCAAAATTTATTTTCCAATTAGTATAGAACAGCGGGTACAATGTAGACCCCACTTACCCTGATGGGCCTGAGGATCGGGTTGTGTTGCCATACTGGGGCCGGGCCAGAACGCTGTGCAACATCCCTTTTCTTTTTACTCTCTCCTTTTCCCTAGGCCAGTGATGGCAACCTTTTAAAACTTCAGTGGTAACAAACAGCCAGCAGCGACACGCATGCCATAGGTGCGCCACACCGCCCTAGTTGTTCTTTTTATGCAGACTATCCTGTGTTTCCTTGCATTTTCTGGTCTGTGCAGTAGAATCAGGTCTTGACTCCTGCTGGCTAAAATGAGCAAATAGGGGTTCTCAGTTAATGTTAGTAGGGCTCTTGAGTTGGGTTCTCACTGTATTCAGAAAGTTTTAGAGGCTATTCCCAGAAGAATGGGAATTTCCAAGAACTACATTTCGAAGATGCATTTTCTTATAAATGTTAAAACCTTGAGAATTTAGCATCCGCTGGTCCTGCGCGCTGTTGTGGTCTGCGTCCTCTTGGGTTATACGTCACGCTGAAGTGGAGATACCCGGCAGGCGCAGCTACTTGGAAAGTGTTGCGATTCCACACTTGGTCACCGTGCTTCCTGGGCACATTGCTTGATGGAGTCTCTCCAGTTTTGAGTTTAGAAATGAAGTAATATGTAACCTTAGGATTAAACTCTGCTAAATTGGCCAATAGTCACTGAAGAATCATCTTTTATTTTTTTCCTCAATGCAGATTATTCAAGCCGGGACAGTGTTTTGACCAAGTATTCTAGTTTTCATGCATTGAAACACTAGTGCATTTTCTACTTCTTGCTCTGTCCTATGGTAGTGAAGGATCCAGTGTCAGCCTTCGGTAAGA